CCCCAAAACCCCAAAACCCCATTAATCATGTTAGAGTCTGCATAGAGTAATTTAAAATAGATAAAATTAATACTAAATAAATATGAACAGAAACTCCCAAAATCCATATCAAAATAATGGCTATTAGTAGTAAATTTAATCGGCATTTTAACTTTACATCTAGTCAATAGCAATGTTAAACAGAGCAGTCTAATCTTAATTATAACTCGAATTTTGTCTCTTCCGACAATTACTAATAATACCAATCTACTACTACTCAAAATATGGTTTAAAATAAAAATAATCAAGATTATGTTGGCACGACTTAAAAAGATATTGGAACTCATATCATTGACCAGATAAACTCAGCAAACAGCCAATAATATTATCCCTTAGCTTACGAAACTGACTCAAAATTAATACCACCCTCTCCATCAGAAATATTCACTTAAATTGATAATTCTCAAACAGGTCCAAAGCTATTAAGAGCTACAGCCATTAAACTACCACAAGATTAATCATTCATCGATTAAACTTGCACTCCATTCGGAATATTAGTTTAGCCACTTACTGATCTATCTTACGACAGATAAGTTGATGAAAACAATTGCGAAGTCAACGAGTACATGCCTGTAATCGATTGCTATGACTCTTAGATACTTAGATGTCCAAGATGTCTATGCTATATTAATCCATTTTTCAAATTTATTGAAAACGGCTAGAGTGTTATTTGTAATATATGCCAATATCAATTTCAATGTCCTGAGTACTATTATTCTCAGCTTAACGAAATGGGATTGAGAAGAGATCTAAAACAACGATTTGAGCTTCACAAAGGATCTTACGAGTTTATTGCTCCAAGAATATTTTATGATAAAAAGGAGTACAAGCCAGATGAATATGTCCTAAATAAAATCTTTGTCATAGATGTTAGTCCATTTTCAGTACAATTGGGATTATTTGAATAAGCAATATACAGTATTAAACTAACTTTAGATTACATGGAACAAGAACACACTAAAATATCCATCCTTACATTTGATGCCAATGTTCATTTATATCAACCAAGCAAAATAAATCCAAATGGAGAACCTTTAATTTACATCATGGCAAACAGTGAAGAGCCTTTTTTGCCTATTCCTCAATAGTCATTATTGCTTCACATTAGAGACTAAAGACAAACCATAGATTATATATTAGATAAAATACTGATCCTCTATACAAATCAAGCTAACTAAGTTACAACTCAAAGACATGTAGCAGGTGCTGCCCTAAAAGTAGCTGAGCTAATTTCAGAAAATTAATGTAATTCCATATTGATTGCTTAACTATTCTTATTTTGTAGAGGGAAATATTATTCTATTTTCTGCGAATATGCCCAACACAGGGGTTGGAAAGTTTTTTACCAGAGATGATAGTTCACTCTACAATACAGATAAAGAACCAACCTTACTTAAGCCGTTTATAGATTATTATACTCTCTAAGGCTAGAATCTTAACAAGAATGGAGTTTGCGTAGATATGTTTTTATGCATGAATAATTCCTAAACAATAGATATAGCTACAATCGCCCCAATATCCTAACTAACAGGAGGAGAAATATTATTTTGGAATCCTTTTGATAAGGAATCCTATGGAGAGAAATTGCATCTTGAGCTTTTCAAAATATTGACAAGGAATTCATATTTCAATAGTGTGTACACTCTTAGATCAAGTAGTGGAATTTAAGCTACTAACTTTTTTGGATCATAAGGCATTTAAAAAGTAAATTTATTTAAATAAAAATGTTTGTTAGTTAGAAACTGGAGCTATCACATAAGCAAGGATTGATTCTGATAAAGTTTTAGGAATTGAACTTTAGGTAGATAAAAATCAACTCAAAAATTTTACTGAGCATTATTTACAGTTTGCTATACTCTTCAATACTATTTAAGGATAAAAAAGGATAAGGGTACTAAACTATAGAATACCAACAGCAGCTAGCTTTTCCTAATACTTGGAAAGCATTGATCAAGAAACTCTTGGTTAATTTGTCATTAGAAACAAATTATGCTAAGTTTAAAATACAGGGCTTAAATAAGTAAAGTAAAATCTTCTAAGGTCAGTATCAACTTTAATTAAAACATATATTACTGAGCTTAAAGGAAATGCTCCATTATATAGTCAAGAAATTCCCTAATAATTAGCCATTTTTGCGGGATACATAAACAGAGTCCTTCGAAGCAAAGTATAAATAAATTTATTCTTAACCAAAATTAGGCTCTACGTTTGCTTCCTTACAATAAGATACACTATATTACATAGAATGGACAAAGAGTTCTAAATATGTCTTTGCAGAAATTTTGCTTTTTCTCTTATCCTAGAATATATTGCCTAAACGATTTATAAACTCAAGTAATTTTAAAGATTAACTAATTATTAGGCATACGAATAAATTGAAGATTAGGGATAATAAATTGTGAAGCCTTTATGCTAGAGAACTGCTTTATAATTACTCAATCAAGAAAACATGTATATTTTTGATGATGGAGAATATATCTATCTCTATGTCGGTGAAAGATTAGACTCTTATCTTATTCAATAATTCTTCGGCTATGATCATTTTGCAGAGCTGAGGAATTCTCAAATAAAGACATTCTATCCTCAAGAGCATTTGTACTACTCAATGAAGCTCAGTGAGTTGATAGAAACTTTGAAATATGAAAAATCTTGCGGGTATTAATAGCCTGTTCAGTTGATATTTAAAATGTCTCTTGAATTTGAAGTGATGAAGCAAGATATTATGGTAGAAGATGTTTATGACACTACCACTGATTTTTCATTAAAGCAATTTGAAGATATCATCAAGCAAGAGATCAATAAAATTTCGAAAAAGTGATTATTTATAAATATTTTAGAAGCCTCAGATTTTTTATTATATATATATGGGGTTTTGGGGTTTTGGGGTTTTGGGG